GGGTCGCGACCAGAGTCGCGGAACGAATTAAGTTCATGACCCGAGGTACCACTGTATATGAAGTTTCTGGCCCATTTTCAAATGTAGCCCTGCATACAACACATTTCAGTGATCTAACCAGGAAATTACCATAGCATGAATAACTAGTGCAAGGCTTCCTCTGTTCAGGTAGGATTGCAGTTAGTAAATCCATGCCACCAAAGTCACCTGAGCCTCTAGTAAAAGTGATGGATCTAAGAGCACTTCCAAACTGTGGACCTGCTTCTTTAGGATGCATATTGACCTTTCTAGGACAAGCAGGACACCACCCAACTGGAAAAATGCACCACCTACAAACTGTATTTCTGTCTTGTCTGGGTTGGGCCTCAGTTTATTGGCCTCAACCAGTCTATTACCCTGCCCAAGCACTGGTTCAGAAAGCCAACTGCCTCAGCTCAGATGTTTACCAAGGTGCTGTTTGGGCTCTGCGGGCAGGGAGAGGGCGCTTGGGAGCTACTGTGTCAGCTCCTTGAGAAAACTCTGTATTCCGCAGAGCAACCAAGGCATTGGCAGGAGCGCAGGTCATACCAACAGAAAATTCCTTAGAGCTCTGTGGAATCTAGAAGAATCCATTACTCACTGGGGGTGGATCTTCTTAATCAAACTCGTACTCTTGCAAAGGATAAAAGCTGCTGATTTTGTCCTTTGCTGTAATGGTCAGATCATTTCCTGATGAAATTTAGACTAACTTCACCAGGAAATGATCTGACCATTACACTGGGATGACTGTTAGGTTTTCCACGTTCAGAACACCTTCCACCTGACCAGCTGAGAAAACTACATCCAGAGTATGTCGTGCAATGTGTTGGGCTGATGACATGTTGGGACAGCCCCATGGTCATTATGGCAGCCATGGAGTTCTGGGCTGCTCCAGAACAAGTGTCCTTAGCATGTATGTTCAAGTCCCTCAAGACAATAAATCTGGGAGCCCTTAACACCACATTAGGGTTAGGGTCTGACCAAGTCTGTCAATCCAGGCAAGGAGATTGATGGGCAGCATGGTTGGTGGTACCCTAACAGAATCCACAATCTGTCCTGAGTGCCCAACATAGGGACGTACATTTAAGGCTGATAATGCAACTGGACGGGCAAACTCACCCCACCCATCTACTCATGGAAGCAGGCAGTTGATATCACAGGGAGAGTCCCAGCAGACAGGAAAAGCTCGGGCAGATGGAGCAGTGTTATAACTGGTATTCAAGTCCTCCTATTTCACCAGTACTGGCAAAAAATATTTCCTCCCATATTTATCTGGGGAGAATCAAAAGTGACAATTTTAGTTCTGAGCTGTTAGAATTCCAGAAATATAGGAAGCAGTGAGGAATACAAAGGTAGAAGACCAAAAAAAAAAAGGACAGCAATGCAAATTTGCTTTGAAAGGCAGCAGCCAAATGCAACTGTCAGTCTCTGCTTAAGACTTCCCTGAGGGCTGCTAGGAAAATGATTTTAGCAAAAGGAGTCAGCAGGCAAGGTTCAGTAATACATGTGGAACACTTACAAATCCTTCTACAGGGATACACTTTTGAAGTTTGGCCTGCAGAGCTAAGGGCTAGCCAGGGAAAAGCCACGAACCTGCAACTCTGTGGTGTCCAGTTCTCTCTGCTCTTGCTCCTCTAAATGCTCTGGCTGTCATGCTTTGTTTCACAAGTGGTCTGGAAGACAGAAACATTAGGAGAGTTTTATGTTTCTATTTTATATTTATGATAGAGGTGAATCCCTTCCAACTTCCACGTTGGGAAAACCTCTTTCGTGTGTGTGCCTCTGTTATAAACCTCAACCAGTGAAGAGTTTCCAAAACAAAGAAGCAACTTTTGCAGCTCTTACATTATGTGGGAAGGGGTTGAAATTGGATAGCAATAGAGGCTTTAAGTGGACACAGGGAACAGGCATTTGGACACTCAGAAGTATATCACCTAGTTTATACGCGTGGCAGCTGTTCTTCAGATTTAGTTTCCTTAAGGTTTTGTTTTTGCCTTGTGCTTGGATTTGACTTTTAACAACACCCAGCTTGGCCTCTCAGCATCCTGTGTTACTTGTGACCATACTCGGTGTGGGATAATTAATGGGCTTTAGACTGGGAGGGTGGTAGGTCAAACTTCCACCAATAAATATCAAATAGCCATGAATCTCATGCTTGATAAGATAGCAATAAAACTGGCCCTTTAGACGTTACTGTAGTTTGTACAGATTGTAGGCTTAGAAATTTGATGCCTTGTTCCTTTTTTTACACAGATGATCATCACAGACACTTGTCCAAGTCTAACCATTTAACATGTTTCTAGATTTTCTCTTAGGGATGCTGTGAAAAATGGCATATATAAAATAATAATTTATTAAACTTCTATATAAAAGATTTATATATAATCTTTCATTGACCTGTGGCATAGTGTGTCTGGCTGTCTATCTATTCTATCTATACAGCCTATCTATCCATCCTATCCTATCTATTTACCTACCCACCTACCTACTTACCTACCTATCAAATGAGAAAATTGCTAGGCATTTGCTGTTAATAGACATTTTATATCCTGTTGGTTATATTAGATTGAAGTGGTTTGATTATATCCTTTTCTATTTTTACAATGATAACATAAAAGTGTTTGCGTGATAGTCAGTGCAGTCAACTAATACAACTTTATTCTCAGAAAAAGAGGAGGAGGAGGAGGAGGAGGAGGAGGAGGAGGAGGAGACAGCTAAAATGACACTTCAATTACTCCTGGCAAAAAGAAAAAAAAATAAGCCAGCAACAGCAGGCTACACTCAGTTTGCTTTTGGCCAGGAATTGACAATTACCTTCAAGAAACAAGCTGGGTGGGTTGGATGGCCCATTTTTTGCTGGCAATCAAATAACAAGATGTGCTTCCATGGCATCTGAGCATCATGGCAGTGTCATAATACAGGCAAGGGCTCGCATGGTGTTATCATTGTGGGGTAGGGCTTATAATATTTTGTCCCTTTTTGGTCTGAAGACCCCTGATCCTGTGTGTCGCAGAGACCTTGTAGACAGAGAGGTGGGGCACCGACTAGCAAATAACAGAAAGCAAACACTGGACTCTCCAGGATGTAGAGAACCTGCTTAAGTTTCT